GAGAGAGAGAGAGCAAATCTAGCATGATATCTTCTCTAGACACATACCCAACAGAAGAGACCTCAAAACTTTATAACAAGGTAAAAATGTCCTTGATTACGTTCAATATATTTCATGAAATTACATTCTTTTTAGAAGTATATGAATCAGATTCTTCCCCTAAACACAATCTGAAGTCCATCTTTGAGAGGAATTGCCTCGTCCATAAACCTACATCCGACCAAAATGAGAATACCGGTATCATTTCTTACCACGAAGTCTACTCCATCACACAGTTTGACTTCGGGAATCCGTGAGTTGGAGGAATACACCGACGAGGGGTCAAACACAGGTAGGTGGTCGAAAGAGGTACTCGCCTGCGGTTACCCACGAACCACGTGAGGCCGAAGGCGATCGGAGAGAAGGATTTCGTGTGGGGCCCTTGTCGACGTTTGCAGTGGTCAATTTCTCGGGTTTCCTCCGTTGGGGCCTCGCTAGATTTCACATAATTTCTTCGTCTTTTGCTCCTCTTGTCTTCCCCTCCAATAGAAGGCGATGGCGCGACATGGGGCCCTGTATGCTGCTCGCCCTTCCCCTGGACCATGGCGGGCGGTGAGGAAGACGAAGGACCGGAGTACTGGCTGCGGTGGCAAGTGCCGGCCTGCGCTGCTATCCTCGCCGTCCCCGCCGCCGTGTCGGTGGCTGTGATCTCGAGATCCAGGGCCGTGGATCCCCCCAGATCCTCGGATCTGTGGTCCCCCTGCTGGAAGAAGCTCAGCCCGCTCTGGCTCCTCGGCCTTCGTGCTCTCGCCCTCTCGATCCTATTCTGGCTACTATGCCGGGCGGTTCTCCTCGACGGCGCCTTCGCCTTCTACTTCTACACTCAGTAAGCCCCTCAAGTCGCCTTCTTGACATGGAAATGGTCGGCTTCTCCCGCTATTTTGGCTTGTATTGGCTATAAAATCGCCAAAGATTCTTTCTTTGTCCCTTCTTTCTTGCTGGATTTGAAGTAGAGTGAACTTTGAAAGCTGCTATTTCAGCAAATCTGGTCACTTCATACACATGCGGAGGATATGGATCGAGATAGGGGACACTCATAGCAGCATATGTTGTGCACATGAATCAGGTCATTGGTTTCTTGTTTCCGGTTTAGGGTTCAGGTTGCCAGTAATGAGCTAATTGGGTGTATAGGTCTAATGGTTCCGTTGTTCTTTCGGTTCGATGAACCTATCAATGCATCTTTCTGATGTCACTTTGTTCTTATTTCTGTTGTTTTTAGTTGACCTGAGCTTCTGCTTCCATGAATTCTGTCATCTTTTTATCAATTGCATTATGCTATCTTTAAAGAATGCAAGGAGACAAAACATGAGATGTGCAAAGGAGCAATTTAGTTCCTTCTTGAGTTTACATTTCACTTGGCAACTAAATTTGTGTTGGTAAAAGAGAAGCAGAATAAAGCTACTTTGTGTGTGGCTTCTAAATCAATTAGACCACATTATGCTTATCCTGATAAAATGTAAGGAGAGAAAACATGAGATGTGCAAAGGAGCAATTTAGTTCCTCCTTGAGTTTACATTTCACTTGGTAACTTAACTTGTGTGTTGTGAAAGAGAAGCAGAATAAAGCTACTTTGTGGGTGGCTTCTAACTCAATTAGACCACATTATGCTTATCTTTATAAAATGTCAGGAGAGAAAACATGAGATGTGCAAAGGAGCATTTTAGTTCCTCCTTGAGTTTACATTTCACTTGGTAACTGAATTTATGTGTTGTAAAAGAGAAGCAGAATAAAGCTACTTTGTGGGTGGCTTCTAAACCAGTAAGATTACATTATGATTATCTTTATAAAACGTAAGGTGAGAAACCATGAGATGTGCAGAAGGGGAAATTTGGTTCCTCCTTGAGTTTACATTTCGCTTGGCAACTAAATTTGTGTGATGTGAAGGAGAAGCAGAATAAATCTACTTTGTGTGGTGGCTTCTAAACCAGTTACTGACTGTAAATATCCTTTGGATGATCTGCAGGTGGACCCTTTCGTTGGTAATCATCTACTTTTTGGTATGTTCCAGTTCTCCACTTTTGTGATTTTTTGTAGCATTTTTCAGAATTTTGCAAGACCCTTGATGGAAACCCTTCTTCATGTTAATCACTTGCTTAATACCGTAATGCCTTCGACCCATCATAATTAGATGTCTCTAATGGATGCAATTTTTAGTCACCTAGTTACTTCCAAGCATGCATTCAGTTAGGCACATCTTCTGCATCACCTTATGGGTCACTCATTTACTACCAATTTTGCATGCTTACAGATTGGTACCTTTATATCTGCTCATGGTTGCTGGATTTATGCAAAGCGTGCCACTGAAAATGATGAGGCGGATACATTCTTTAATAGGGACTTTGGAGAAGAATTACCTGCAAATTCAACTGGATCAAATCAAAACACAAAATCTAGCAAATTCCATAATGTCTATGAGTGGGTTGACAATGAACAAAAAGCTGGGTTTTGGGGTTACCTCATGCAAATTGCTTATCAGGTATGTCTTTTGACAGCTTCAAACTATCATAAATATTTCTTGAGCAGATCTTATCATTTTACCATCCATCAGCTTGTTAGTACCTATTAAGGAGGCTTCCAGTTCTACTACAAACTATATTCTTGTGTTCATTTTAAGAAACTTGTTTGCTTCTTTGTCTTGCCAATCATATGCCACATTTTATTGCAATTTCATATTTTCATCAGTTCATCTTATTAAATTTTGTGAGTAAAACCCTTGTATTCACTTGAACAGACTAGTGCAGGTGCTGTTACATTGACAGACATCGTCTTTTGGGGGCTTCTAGTACCATTTCTTTCTGCTGAACATTTCAAACTGGACATGGTGGGTGCTCCCTACCTGTGTAATGTTTTTAATGAAAGTTTTCCTCCAGATCAATCTTCAATGTAACTACTGTTAGTTTCTTTGTTTCCACTATATACACACACACACACACACACACATCAGTGTTACTGTATCTTCTGAAAGATGCAAAACTACTACTTGTATGTTTACTGTTTGTACTATTTTTCACCTAAGTGCATGCTTGCTATTTATTCAGCCGTAGCAATTCACCAACTTTGATTATGATTTTTCATGTTCTCATAGATAATAATATAATGGCTTGCTAGATTTCATCTATCACATGTATAGAAGAGCATAATACCTAGTGTTCACAATAAAAAAATATAAAAAACTTCTTTGCTGATGATTATAGCATAATTAAAAAAATGTATGCATTTGTTATCAGTGTATGTCATTACCAGAGGTCATATCTAAGTTCTGTATAGGAGTTGGTTGTTGCTTTTTAGCTAGAAGCAAATTGGAGAAGGAAATGTGAAGGCCTGAAACCCTAAGAACCACTGAGACTCTCCAAAAGTTGCTGCAAAGCACACTGTCGTATATATGTCTATTATCATTGGACTGCACAAAATGCAAATAAAACAAGAGTTATATGAAGAACCAGCTGTTAAAGCCTCAATGGTCACTTCAATCATACTGATAAACTGTAATGATAATTTTCTTCCATATTTATGTTTTCTTCAGTATATAGAAAGAATTTTATTTGATACCCAGATTATTTTTTGTGTTTTTCTTGGCAGCTCATGGGGTGCATGCACACATTGAACCTTGTGTTTCTTCTCCTTGATACTGCCCTAAACAGTCTGGTAGATTATGTACTTACAGGATGTTGATCACTTAAATCCAATTTTCCGTATATAAAGAGTTGATGAAATGATTTATATTTCTTTCCAGCCTTTTCCATGGTTCAGGATGGCATATTTTGTTCTTTGGAGCTGTGTCTATGTGATTTTTCAGTGGATACTGCACATCTGTGGTTTTTCATGGTACGGCTTTTACTTTCTGCATCCATCTTGTTACATAAATATTGAATCTGAATAATCTACAAAAATAAACATCAATATAACAAAAATATCACCAGCTGAAGATCATTGTCATCTCCACTACACTAATGTGTGATTTCCAGTAAACATTATGTGCATCTTCAAGGTTGTAACCAACAATTCTACTATTGTGGCATATGTTACTTTTATATGTAACTCACTGATAGATTTTCTTTAGGTGGCCCTACTCTTTTCTTGAGCTCTCAACTCCTTGGGCTCCTTTTTGGTTAGTATTAGATCTTTATTAATCTTCCATCTGTTAACACAAGATACTAACAGCTACAGTAAAACTTGCAGGTACTTATGCTTGGCATTGGTCCACATCCCTTGTTATGGTCTCTACAGCTTAATTGTGAAAGCCAAGATCTCATTGATTCCGAAAATTTTTCACCGTATCTATATAAGGCCTTAGGATTTATGGTTATACATTGTTAATTCCAATTATTCTGAGTGTAATCAATTGAAAGAAGTATTGGACATCTTTGCAGGTAGATGCCATTTGTTACTGATCACTCAGCTTCTTTGTTGTTGAATCTTGAGAAGCAGTACTACAGCAGTATCTATTTTTTGCATCAAACTTTTGTCAAGAATGGTTGTGTAGCTGAATTTTCACTCTGAGATTAGACATGTGGAAGTATCATGTGATAAAAACAAAAAAAACTTCTTAGCTATGGAACCTCCATGATTGTTTAACTGAATTTAGTAGATTTTTGGATGATGGTTTTACCAGTCAAGATGGATGCTTCAAGCTGCTATTAACTTGTTGATGTCCTATGTTAACCAGTATGATATTTTGGTAAAGAGGAAGACGAAGGCTTGGCCCATTTTGCATTCTTAATTTTCTGATTGTGGTTATGAGAACTATGTTTTATGTTCTTGATATTGAATTGAAAAAGCATCATAATTGTTGGATGACTAACTATGAGAATGTGTTTTTCACCTGAGTTGGTCTTCATATCAATGATGTAAAGAGTTCAGCTCAAACTAGGCCAGCTTAACTCAGAAATGTTGCATAATGCCTGAATCATAGAGAAAGCCAAGGATATTGATATAACATTTGAATTCAATGATGTAACATTTGAATTCTGTATTTGTTCTTGATGTACAAATGCATTAAGAACCCAATTATCAATGTAGCTGCTGTAACAAAAACATCCCACAGGCCTGTAGTTGCAGTGTCACAAAATTTGCCCAATTTTGTGTTTACTATTGGGAAAGTTAAAGCAGGAGACATTGTCTTTTATCTTTAGAAAAAGAAGAGAACTTATTTAGTGGACAGTTTGCAAGAATTATAAAATGCTGTTATTATTTATATATTCTACAAAACCAGTGTAAATTCATACAATGAATAACATCAATCAGATCAAAGAGAATTTAGCATGACATTCTTTCAACCACTAAATGACATGTATATGATCCTTTTGCATAAAGACATTCAGTGAATTACCATCTAAATTCTAATCTAGTATAAGAGATGGACAATATCAGTATACAACATTCAATGAAACTTTTAGAACAATGATCACAACAGCTTGCAAATGATCCAACTACAAAAATTTTGGCTTTCAACTTTAGTAATTATAATGGATAACAACGTTCGTTATGTATCATTCAATACGAGTGGAACATATCAATCCAACAGGAGTATCATTGATATGAACGATATATTGGTATATTCCTATATACTATATATCAATACACTTAATACGACTCGGTACAACTCGATATATGTCAATACACTTAATACGACTTGGTACAATTCGATATGTACTATATCGATAGTTGATCGGTACACCGATAAGACAAGAAGAACCATGGTGGATAATATTACAAATACATAAATTCATGTGTGTTAGAGCTAATCTTTATCATGTTGCCATCTTAGTTTCCACATATAAATTAACACAAACAAGCCTATAAGAAACACAACATAAGGACAAACCAAAACAGAACAATACAAACAAATCTGCAAAAGATGATCTTAAAACACCTTCCCAAAAGCTCAACATGCCGATATGGTAACTCATGGTGAAGTTCTCATAGTTCAGCTTCATGTCCAAGTTGGTGACACTTTGAAATCAGATATTTTAATAAGGACAAAATTATGCATATAGCAAATGCAAAATTTACTGTTGGAAGAATATAAGCAAAGATCAAATGAACTTCCATAATGATAAAAAAGATTTATACATTTTTTACAATAATAAAATATGTAGTGAATGTACTTACAGAGAAGATTTACACTTCCATCTGTCACATCTCTGCCTAGTTTTCTGTATCACTCGTATTTGTATTGCATGAAAGAGACATGTTAAGACTGACCCATTTTAACATACAAGAACCAGCAAGACTAAAAAATTGAGAAGTACAGATCCAAACTCTACCACAATTCCAGGAGAGAAAGCAGGTATATGCTGGCAGAAGATATTTTTCAGTCCCTACTTAGCCTCCTCTGCTATTGAGTCAACAGGTAAAGAACCAAAAGGAACTGTCGGCTCAATCTCATCAAATGAACCATAGATGTCATCGCTGTAATTATCATACTCATAATCTCTATTGGATGTGTCCATTTCCCTATTACCATCATTGTCATTGTGATCATCATTTGTCTCAGTTGCAAGCCTTTGTTCTAAAGAATCTTCTGAATCATCAGGATCTTTACCACCAGGCAGGATTAAGGCCTGGTAAGAATGTTCCACGATCTGGGACAAGCCTTCAAAATCCTCAACCCTCTTGAGAAGAGAATCTGGACTAAGCTTGGTATCATCCAGCAAGAAAGCTTTGCCTGTCTCAACTGCACGCTTCCACAAAGAAAGCATTTTTGTGCTCAGGATCTCACTGCTGGAAATGGACTCAACACTGGAAACACTGGATTCATCTGTATTCACATAAAAACTCAGATTTAAAAGACAAATCAGACTGAACCCAAAAGAAAGAAGGATTCTTATTTTATGTGGCCCTAAGAAAAACACGACAACAATATAGGCAAATGATGGAGATGTATAACTTCACTAGGGTATGACACACTCTCAAATGGGGCCCAAAACTAAACCAAGACATCATGTGTTAGGTATATCGTGCAAAATAAGAACCACCAGGGACTTAAAAGCTTTCTAGCCATTTCCTACCCTTATCCTCTAAAGCTTGTTGCTTAATCAAATCCGCACCTGCACCTGAGTCCTTATATGCATCTGTTTCCAGCTAGTTAAGTGAAGACATGAAATATCATATAGATGTCTGGAACAAATGTCCAGGGCCTTAGTGGTATAGGACCAATCCCTTACAGTTTATCCTACAAAATGTGCCCAAAAGGAGTAGTAACAAGACCGAACCAACCTAACAGCATTCCTGTGAAGGAAATAAATCAAACAAGCCGCCAATAAGCAACAATTTTAAGATGGCAAATACTGAATATTGGTTTGACATAGTGAAAATGCACTTTAAGCTTCGAGATGTTCATTCCTATTTCAATTCCATCATCAGCTAATGCAAGTCAAAAGCAAGGACCATTGTGAGATTCAAATTCCTATCATGTTTATAACCTATAGCTGCTTATTATATGCAATTCACTACAAAAAAAACACTAAAAGCATATTCAAAAGTGGTTAATTTAACCACAAAGAAAAATAGACACACCTGAATCATTCAAATCAGATGAGTTGTCACTTTCTGTGTGGTGATGCCGCATATCAATAGAAAAAGGAACTTGATATCTTGATTTCCAATCTTTACCTCTCCACATCAATATTTTTTCTTCATCAAAAGACAGCAAAACACAAGGAACCAGTTCCTGTAACATAGCAATAGGGCCAAATTCACTACAGAATACCATCACTTTCATGCTTATTTCAGGAAAGTATAAGAAATCTTCAAATTAGTTTCTACAAAATTTAAGCTACTTCTGATAACAGTTACAAGATAAGAAATCTTCAAATTAGTTCAACCTTCAGCTTTGCACCTAATTTCTTGTAATCACTTGCATGCATTCCCTGGCAATTAACTTTAACCAACTCACTTTCTTCAAAGGCATCCCTCACATCCTTGACAAGATTTATGTATATTCCATTTTTGGCTGCAAGAAGAGAAGTAAAAGTTCATGAACTTATCAACATATGATAAGTTAAACAATAACCAGAGCAAAAGAAGACAAGCCACAGAACTTCCAAAAAGGGAATCATAAGTATGAATCGCCTTTAGAAAAATAAAGACAACTAAGTGATAATCTCTTTGTACAAACTAGGCAACATCCATATATGTTGACGAATTCAAAATAGTAGTAGCACACACATCAGATGCGTAGTTATATATAGCATATGTGCCACATTCGGCAGAAAAAATAAGTAAACTGCCCAGTATCATAAGTTTGTATGGACCAGTTAGACACATATTATGCTATTTCTGTGGAACATGCATAACCATCTTGACCATCTGGGTCTACATAATGGGTAGATGCAGATTCGCTTTTAGATAATATTCCTAGCATTCCACCTGAACCTATTATTTCCGCAAATATATAAGTTATATGCATATCACATGCCAGTTGGTACATGATTTCATTCTTTAAACTTTCTTCTGTGCCTTCCCTTTATCTCCAGCTAGCAGCCTCATCAAAAAGTTAGACGTAATTAGCTACTTTCATTATATGGAAAAATGGTCCAATGCATGAGACTCCCACCAAAATGGGTTTGATGATGATTCATGTGTACAGCCTTACCCCCACAAATAGAGAGATTGTCTCTTTCAACTACATGAATGAAAACCAACCTGAAAAAGGAAATTAGTAGAGAAACATATATTTATGGAAATTAGAAAAGAAACCTAATATTTATAAAGATGTAGTTTCAGCTTACCTAATTTACAGATTGGCATTAGGTTTTCCCCTTTCTTTCTCATTTCATCAGCTTCTGTCTTTGTAAGTCCTTCTGGAGCTTCCTGAATAAGTTTTGGATAAACTGGAGTCGCTGGCTTCCACAGCATTACAGGATATTTTGGACGTGTTCGGGAATCATAGTTTCTGCCACGAAATAAATACACGATACCACCAACTCGATAGATGATCTTCCCCCCAGTCTTTTCCTGGCATCACAGAAGTTCAAAAGAAAATTGACCAGCTGGATGCAGTCATTCATTAACCCACAATATAATAATGCTGAAGAAAAATGAAATGAGAGCATATAAGTTTGTGAATTGATTATAGAATAGGTGGCTCGAAATAAGGACACAGAGATAGATATACAGGTAGATCAAACCAATGGGAAAAAAACAGTGCAGTTCACAATGGATCTAATTATGGATCAGCAGATGACCATCATATATAAATGTTTTTATCAGGGACCACTCTGTACAGATAGACCACCCATTCTGGTTGAAGTTATGGCAATAAGCCTACAACAAATGGGAAAACAAGTAGCCACGCTAAGAACTTAGATGGCTGATTGGTAGATAGAGGTACCAAATCTACAAGTTCTGGACACAATGAAATGACCCTGAACTCCTGAAGTGAGCCATAAACTTGTGGAACACCAAAAGTACCCTGAAGTTTAATGATTGTCAAATTCTATGAGAAACATATGAAAATACATCTCAGAAGTCCAAACTCCAAAGACTTCCTCTTAAAATTGCCTTAGAGCAATAATTCTATTTCAATCTTATAAATACAAATCTACTTATGCCTTCGTGATTCCCCATTAGAAAACTTGTCATATTCTAGCAAAACCAATTTTCTAATCTCGTGGAAAGCTCAAGCTATATCTATAT